GGGGGTGCGGCGGGGGGCGCGTGAAGAAGCCTGGGACTTCTGGGGACGCTCTGGGGAGCAACAGGTAACAATCCCCAGCCCAGAGCAGCTCACTTACCGGGAATGGGAGACAAAGTCATACACAGGAATCTGGACTGTTTTCCCTTCGGTGATATCTTTGAGTGTCTTGAAGATGAGTTCATTGTCAAAGGCATCTGAAGGAAATCAAACTATTAAGATGTTTCTTAATTGTAAAATGATTTCTCCTATAATGATGAACAGGGCATCACTATAAACCTATTATTTCACATACGTGTATCACACCCTAGAGAAGCATCCCCTCCCCACAAAAAAGCCAGGTTTCTACCTAAGGCAGAATGCGAATTCCCTGCATCTCAAACCAAAGTGTATAAATGAGTTCTGAAAAGTGGATTCTTTTTTTTTTTTTTTTTTTGGCTTGCCATTCCATCTCTGGCCTCAGACATCTCTCTAAATCCAGCAGCATATGATAACCTGGAAAGCATACTCACAACTAGGGGACTGCAGCAGGCACCACACCAAGTTTTGACTCCCACAGTTATAAGAACTCCAAACCAGCTCAAGGGGCAGTGTGCTCATCTGGGACTGACAGGGCCAAAAACATTCAGGCAGCCATCCTGGACCCTCCACCCCACTCTCTGCCAGTCGGTGTGTTTAACACACGAGCCATGTACACGCACGTGCTGGGTGCTGGCGGGAGGGTGTGACACAGGCTGCTGCAGAGCGGGAGGCGGGAGAACCAGCTGTGTGTGCGCTAGCCTGTGTCTGGCCCACCCTGAGTAACAGGCTTCTCCAAGAGTCACCCTTGTTCAGACACAGATTCGATCAGTATTTAAGGCGCCAAGCACCAGAGGACGCGCTGCAAAGTGCTTCTATCCTATAAGCCCCACCACAACCCCGCAAGGTACCTATCAGTCCTCCGTTTTATGGATGGGAAACAGAGAGGTTAAGCAACTTCCTCAACCAATCCCCCCCCCACACACGCCCCTTCAATGCCCCGACTCACCCGGGTGATCAAAATTGAACTGGCCCTTCAAGGCTTTGGCCTTCTGCTCTGAGGTGAGGACACGGTAGAAGCTATCCTGGCTCAGGATGACCACCTGCTTCTGGCGATAGTCCACCTCATTCTGTCCCAGGAGCTGCACAATCTTAGCACAAACGGAAGACTGTAAGGAAAGAAGGGAACACCACGGAATAAGGGAGGTCCAGTCACTGAGCTGATGTGTGCACCCTGAGCAAGGGGGCCTTTGGAAGGAAGAACCCAAAGGCTACCGTATCTTGGATGATGCATTAGGGGAAGGGAGGAAACGTCTGCTGAGAAGGAATTTGGAGGCCCCAAAAGTCTCTTCCTCTCTTTCCTTAACACAATTTACTACGCTCAGGTATCCACAGTGAAGGCAGGGGAAGGAGGGCCATAATCTCTAACTCCTCTTCCATAAAGCCTTCCCCAAAGCTACTAATAAAAGGTGACACTATTTTATTCTTCCTTGCTTGCACCCTGGTACGGATACACAAAAAAGACAGCAGAAAGTGGGGAAAGGGCACATTGAAGCTGTGCTGATGGGCCGAAGGGCCTCTGGGTCATGAAGTGACTGGGCATTTGCTAGACATCTCACAGCACCTGCACATCTCTTTATGTCGAAGGAATCTCATAGCAGAGGGCTTGGCTGGCTGGCGGTAGGGCCAAGGTCATGGCTTCCATCCTACTTCTGTTGGTTTCTTTTGCTGTGGTCCAGAGCCGTGGACATCATCGCCCTCACAGTACCCCAGACAGCCTTGTCACAGATGTGTGCCCCCGCTTTTAGAGCTGGAGACATAAACATCACCAATACCTGAAACAACCTAGGGGTATCCCAACTAAGAGGAGGGACGCCAGTTCCAGATGAACTCAAACCTACATGCTTTGTGTTGTGTTGCTAGTAATACACATATCTGACTCCTTTTCTCTCCAATAACATACGCTCTTTGTAAAAGGAAAAGTATAAAACAAAGCGCATTCCAAAGAATGAGATAATGAAAGATTGTATTTACCAAATAACTCTTTTCTTTTTTTTTCATTTGATACAAAGATTAATTGAAAAATAAGAATGTCTACATTACAAAACCTGTAGAAGCTGTAACTCAAGCCCCCTATGGAACTGGCTGACCTAATTACAAGCGATAAAAAAATGAGCAGTTAAAGGTTTCTTGGATTCAGCCTTAGAAGTCTTAGAAGAACTTATTTTACCAACTGATTTTACAGGGAAAAACCAGGAAACTTTTAAAAATTCTTATGAAGAATGTATTTGATTTGTCCAAGCATAAGGAAAACTGGTCATTCCTGTTGTACTAGCCAGTGCAAACTAAAACTATTTTGAATTACACTCCAATAAAGTTGTTAAAAAAAAACTATTTTGCACAATATGTCCTGTTTGTACACGTGGTGAAACACACTGCCATATTATAAGGATCTGTGGGGGGAAATTTTTTTTTTTTGTGGTACGCGGGCCTCTCACTGTTGTGGCCTCTCCCGTTGCGGAGCACAGGCTCCGGACGCACAGGCTCAGCGGCCATGCATGGCTCACGGGTCCAGCTGCTCCGCGACATGTGGGATCTTCCCGGACCGGGGCATGAACCCGTGTCCCCTGCATCAGCAGGCAGACTCTCAACCACTGCGCCACCGGGGAAGCCCGGGGAAAAAATATTTTGACTCAACTGTTAATTATTAGAAAATTATTTTACTTTTATGACACTTTTGCATATTAACACACAAAAAAGCATTTAAAACTACTTAGGAGTTTTGGAACTACAGATGTGCCAAAAGAAAAAAAAAAGAATCACAAGAAGGTATAAAGCTTGCACATGACTTAAACTACATTCAAAAATGAAAATGCTACAACAGAATCAAAGGTTCTATGCAATCAAAACCTCTAAGTTTTTAAACATGTATAGGCCCATAATTTCCTTTTCCTAGCTCAAGGCTATGAGAGGGCAACTTTTATACCTGCAGCCTTCACTAATAGATAGAACTCCTTCCAGAAGTCCAAAGAACAAAAATGAAAAGAGGGATTCATGGAACCAGATAAATATAATCTACCAGGTTATTCAAATAATGGTATTTTTTTATTTGTAGCTAAAACACATTAAATGTGTGGTTTTTTTAAGAAGAATAGTAATCCCACCACTGCCAGAAAAGCATATAAGGAAGTTTCACTACTTAATTTCACAGATAAACCATCATTTCCCTTAACCCAGGCACAACCTAGGACAGAACCTATCCAATGGCCAATAAAATTGGTTAATGAACATACAATAGGTACAATTCTAGAACGTCAGTGCTCATCACACTCTCTATCAAGAGTAAGGATGGCTGGGGAATTTCCCGGTGGTCCAGTAGTTAAGACTCAGCGCTTTCACTGCCGGGGCCTGGGTTCGATCCCTGGTCGGGGGACTAAGATCCTGAAAGCCACGTGGCGTGGCCAAAACAAAGCAAACAAACAAAAAAAAAGAGGGTAAAGATGGCTGTTTTGCTGGTCCACGGCTGCTTGTCTCAGCTCTATGTTTTCAAGGACTGAGCTGGTGATCGTTCTTTCCACAAACATACCACCACCACCAACTGCTAACATTTTAACTGATTATTAGTTAGGTGTCAGGCCCTAGGCCAAGTGCTCCATTACAGCTACCCCCAGAAGACACAAGTGTTACCCTTCACAGATGTGGACACCAAATTAAAGGACTTGGCTACAGTCATACAATCCTGGTTCCTTTCCTCTTCAACTTAAAAGTAGGTTGCGGAGCACAGGCTCCGGACGCACAGGCTCAGCGGCCATGCATGGCTCACGGGTCCAGCTGCTCCGCGACATGTGGGATCTTCCCGGACCGGGGCATGAACCCGTGTCCCCTGCATCAGCAGGCAGACTCTCAACCACTGCGCCACCGGGGAAGCCCGGGGAAAAAATATTTTGACTCAACTGTTAATTATTAGAAAATTATTTTACTTTTATGACACTTTTGCATATTAACACACAAAAAAGCATTTAAAACTACTTAGGAGTTTTGGAACTACAGATGTGCCAAAAGAAAAAAAAAAGAATCACAAGAAGGTATAAAGCTTGCACATGACTTAAACTACATTCAAAAATGAAAATGCTACAACAGAATCAAAGGTTCTATGCAATCAAAACCTCTAAGTTTTTAAACATGTATAGGCCCATAATTTCCTTTTCCTAGCTCAAGGCTATGAGAGGGCAACTTTTATACCTGCAGCCTTCACTAATAGATAGAACTCCTTCCAGAAGTCCAAAGAACAAAAATGAAAAGAGGGATTCATGGAACCAGATAAATATAATCTACCAGGTTATTCAAATAATGGTATTTTTTTATTTGTAGCTAAAACACATTAAATGTGTGGTTTTTTTAAGAAGAATAGTAATCCCACCACTGCCAGAAAAGCATATAAGGAAGTTTCACTACTTAATTTCACAGATAAACCATCATTTCCCTTAACCCAGGCACAACCTAGGACAGAACCTATCCAATGGCCAATAAAATTGGTTAATGAACATACAATAGGTACAATTCTAGAACGTCAGTGCTCATCACACTCTCTATCAAGAGTAAGGATGGCTGGGGAATTTCCCGGTGGTCCAGTAGTTAAGACTCAGCGCTTTCACTGCCGGGGCCTGGGTTCGATCCCTGGTCGGGGGACTAAGATCCTGAAAGCCACGTGGCGTGGCCAAAACAAAGCAAACAAACAAAAAAAAAGAGGGTAAAGATGGCTGTTTTGCTGGTCCACGGCTGCTTGTCTCAGCTCTATGTTTTCAAGGACTGAGCTGGTGATCGTTCTTTCCACAAACATACCACCACCACCAACTGCTAACATTTTAACTGATTATTAGTTAGGTGTCAGGCCCTAGGCCAAGTGCTCCATTACAGCTACCCCCAGAAGACACAAGTGTTACCCTTCACAGATGTGGACACCAAATTAAAGGACTTGGCTACAGTCATACAATCCTGGTTCCTTTCCTCTTCAACTTAAAAGTAGTCAGGGACTTCCCTGGTGGCACAGTGGTTAAGAATCCGCCTGCCAGTGCAGGGGACACGGGTTTGATCCCTGTTCCGGGAAGATCCCACATGCCGTGGAGCAACTGAGCCCGTGAGCCACAACTACTGAGCCTGTGCTCTACAGCCTGCGAGCCACAACTACTGAGCCCGCATGCCACAACTACTGAAGCCCGTGTGCCTAAAGCCCATGCTCTACAACAAGAGAAGCCACCACAATGAGAAGCCCGCACGTGCAATGAAGAGTAGTTCCCACTCGCCACAACTAGAGAATGCCTACAGGCAACAACAAAGACCCAATGCAGCCCAAAATAAATATAAATAAAATAAATAAATTTATTTTAAAAAAAAAGTAGTCAGAAGTGGGGGGTGGGATAAATTTGGAGTTTGGGATTAACATATATACACTGCTACATATAAAATAGACAAATGACAAGGATTTACTGTATAGCACAAGCAACTATATATATTCAATACCTTATAATACCTATAATGGAAAAGAATCTGAAAAATAGATATAGATATATGTATAAGTGAATCACTTTGCTGCACACCTGGAACTAACATGACACTGTAAGTCAACTATGCTTCAAAAGAAGAAAAAAAAAAAAGGTAGTCAGAAGTTCCAAGCCGAAGAAACCCTTTTATCACTCAGGAGATAAACACCACTGCATGAACAAAGAAAGAAACACTTGCCTCTAGGTTAATTTAGATTTTTCTAGTATTTTCTTCTTTCTGGAACTTGTTAAAACTGTCAAATCGGGGCGACAGATACTTGGGGAGGGGCTCATTGCCTCAACTGGTGCTTAGGTTTGAATCTTCACACAATCAGAAGGAAGAAGACCTACAGAGGACGTCTGCAATGAGTGAATGGTTTTTTTCTTACTGAAGGCCCTCCTTTTATGTCTCCTTCACTTTAATTTCCCTTTTCTCTAACCCTACCCTTTTCAAAAGGACGAAATGGAGGTGCAAGGTGTCTTGTTCCCTCAAGAAAGGAAGTAAGTCCCTAATGACTAGGGTTTGAGGAGAAGGCAGGCAATCTTGAGCTTGTAGAATGCTAAAAATGGGCGAGGGCACAATTACTGTGGTGAGCTAAGACTTATTAAATAATTATAGTCACAAAACC